TGCCCCGTGCGTGGAGCCCCCAGCGGATCGCGGAGCCCCGGGCCCGCGGGGGAGGCTTTCACCGCGCGGGCGGGCCAGTTCTTGCCCCGCTGCCGCGGCGGGCTTGGTGCGACACCGTCCTGACATGTTGTAACTGGTTTCCACACCCACCGCGCCGGAGAGCGACGGGAAATACCTGCGATGCGCCCTGCTCCGACGTGACTCGCCGCCGCCCGCCTCGCAGCCGCCGCGCCGCAGTGAGTGGGGATCCGTGGGTCCCCCCCACGGGCTGGGGGGCCGCGCTGGGGGTCGGGGCGGGGGGCCGGGCTGGGCACAGCCGCCTGGCCTGGGCTCGCTGCGCTGCCGCTGGCGCCGCGTTTGAAAGGGGAGCGCGGGCACCGCGACGGGCGGCGGAGCCCCCCCAGGGACCCGAGCCCCGGGAGCCCCGCGCCAGGGCCGGCCCCGCGGGACCCCGCGGCCAGGAGCCGCGGCAGCGCCTCGGGTCGCGGTCCCAGTCCCGACACCGACCTCGATCCCGATCCCGGCCCCGGTTCCAGGCAGGGCGTGGGGGACCCGCGCGCCGCTCGCGAAGCACGTGGCGGCCCCCGCGGGGGGCTTGTTTGGGAGAAGCTGGGTTGACTTGTTTGGCTGGGAAAGTTAACTTTCTGGGCTAAAACAAACAAACAGATACCATAAAACAGCAGCAGGAACACTTGCTTTGTTATTCTCTCTCCCCCCCCCCCCGAATTTTGCACCCTTTGCATCTGCATAAAAATACAAGAGTAATAATGAAATAATTACCTACTGCTGCTTAATGCTAGTAATTATTATTTGCTGCTGATACAGTGTTGTAACTCAGTGATTGATAGAAAGCAGCTGTCATAAAATGCCTGTTTATTCTGCTGAAGGCTGGTTGGAGGGGGCCTTTTGGCAATGGGATGGCTCCTAAGGAGAGCCGGTGGCTGGAGGCACCCCAGGTGGATACCCCAAAGCTCCCCGACAGCCTATGGAGGAGCAAGCACTCCTTGTGAACTTGTGGGGGTTCAGTCTCCCTCTGGGAGCCTGGCAAGATTGACTCTTTGTGCAGAAATTGAAAAAGTACTTGCATTTTCCCCAGAAAAGAGATTAAGGCATCAGCCCAAGGAGATCAGCATGGCTAGGGTCTTCCCAAGGTCCAGCTGCGCAAGCCTGAGGTTCTCCAGAATAATATGCTGAATTTTGGAAACAGAAGTAAGGTGGAGAAATTGCTTGTTCTTAAGTCTGTCCTGGAGGACTGTACTTCTGGAGCAAGAAGTACTTCTACAGAGTATTGTATCATTTTCTTCAGTGGGTATTTGTCATCTGTTGCTTTTGTGGAAGCGACTGCGTGCATCTTTTCACACAAAACATGTGCTGACTGTTCTTTCACAGCAMAAGCTTTCTTCTTGCTGGGTTCGTGGCAAGAGCATTGGAAAGATCAGAGTATGTTGTTAATAAAAGAACAAGAAGGCCACATCAGTGCAGGATTCAGATTTTGCCTTCTTGAACAAAAGATTCATTTCTAGCAGCTGCTTTGGAGTGTAGATTCCCTGTTAATTGAGTTGAAGCCCATTTGATACTTTGTGAAAAAGTTTTAAGTCATTGGTGCCTGGGTCCATCAAGAAGATGGCCAATATATGGGACATTATGTACACCGCCAAAGAACACATAGAAAAGCCTGGAATTACTGGAAATTAACTGTTAAGGTTACATCTCAGAAGGATACCAGCTTTCCTGTTGCTGGTAAAATATAGAATCATGTATGTGAAGTCTGGTAGTGTGTAGATGATACCTACAGAGATGGGAAGATAGGTTTAGTCAGGCTACTGACTTCATCCTAGAATGGGCTAGATTCTGCTTAACTCATTCTTATTAGCAATAAGTTATTTATCTAAGCAGAGTAAATCCCTGTCGTCAAAGGGCTGAGTGTGCAGAAGTCAAAAAAGTCGAACAAGCCATCTTTCCTATAAAACAGCTCATACCTTCTAAGAAGGAAAATACCACATTCAAGACATCTAGAGCTTTTTTTTTTCAGAATACCTGGATCCAAAATTTTACTTCGAGTTTTGTTTCTTCTCATCATCTCAATCAATATTCTATGCTGATGTCCTTAATCCTCAGAAGCAGAACCGGAATTCTTTTCAGATATCCTGTGATTTGTTTCTGTGCTAACAAATGTAACATTTTCTTTAATAAATGTGTACTGCTTTAAACATCTTTTAAAAGCAGCACTCATAAATCAAAATTCAACATCAAAAATATCCTGTGCAAAATAACTTGTCTTATTTGGAAGAGGCTGTACTAATATAGAAGTATCATATTTCTAAGATTATTTTATACTTATATCCTGCTTTCGGCATGTGTCTGAGCATAAGTAACTGCATTTGACCCATGCCACAATTAATTAATTCATTGTCTTCAATAAAAAGTCAAACTATACTATATTACTATAAAAAACAAACCAAAAGAACAAAAGAAACATGTGAACCAGTGTGCATGCATACAGACACGCACACCTCTTTTTTGTATTTCATTTGTTTGTTACATTCAGTATTGTATATTGCACAACTTATTAATTGCAGTCTTGTTCTCTTTTCAATTTTGAAAAGAGAGGAAGAAAACAAAATGACATCTAGACAAGATTTGGAAATAAACATCTTTCTCAACTACATAGGCTAGGTGCATATACTAGTAATTACAGTTGTTACAAAGTAATAATTTCAGAAAAATCTTCCATTTGCCATAGTAGAATCAAGCTTCAGCTATTAAGACCGATTGCTTTCTTGCTAGAGTTAGAATGATAGCAGTCCTAGAAAGTCCTGCAGTGGGGATATGTAAGGTTTTCAGCTAGGTAACCTATATCAGGTTTTCAGCTATTTTCAGCTAGTGTCAGGACAACACAGCTCAATAACTGCATTTTGCACTCTTGGTAGCATTTCTCCAGTTTCTTGAAAAACTGTTCCAGATGATTTGCTCTCATGAGACACTTATTCATAAACTTTAATTTCACAGTATTATGAGAGTTCAACTTTTCAATTGGCGAGTTGTGCCTGCACCACGTGCCAGGCTCTCCAGTGCATTGCACTAAATGTTGTCATTTGTGTCTGGGCAAACTGTGCACGTAGATGCTACCATGCCTATTTTACTGCGTATTTTCTTTCTGCCTTTTTATGGCAGTGTACTATACAGCCCTACATATCCGTAACAGGGATATATGCAATTCTCAATCAATGGAGAGCAATCAGGTCCCTTTCATTTGCTGCTTTCCAGTTCACCACAAAGAGCTACTCTGGAAGCAGCCAGAAACACTCCCTTCCCTCAGGCTCGAAAGCAATCCTATCTGGGAAGATCTATCCTGCTACTTGGCTGAGAGACAGGATTCAAATGGAATTATTTCATATGACATGCTGATGCCAGCCTCAGATCTGGCTTTTTCTTTCTTCATCCTTTTTTAACCTCAGACTTCCCAAGCTCCTCAGAGATCTTGGTTTGGTTGAACATTCAGTTGAGTTTTAGAGCATCAGTAGTATGTGGAGAATTTGATTTTCATTCCTTTGAGTTAATGCTGCAATTTTAGGTTTCATTTCAAGAAGATTTAGACTATTCCCAACAGCCTGCAATGCAAGTGCAAGGTATCTGAAGGATCTTAATATGAAGAGAGAATTGTGCTACATTTATATGCCAATAAATAAAATCAGAACTCTATACAACTTACTATCATGCTGTTATACTATTCATTGGGCTTGGAAGGAAACCTAATGTTAAGTTTCAAACAATGCGTTGTATATACTTACCATAATTACTCTGCCCTTGTTGCCTGTTTTTCCTACTTCTGCGAACCTTGTCTAAGCACCTTTATGACATGGGCTTTATGTTTCAGCTGTTGAAGATGAAACAGTGCTGCCATGTTTTGTCTTTCTACTTTACATGGCCATGTTTGTGGTCATCTCATGAAAGTTCTCTTTTTTCCTTCTCTCTTACTTCCCAACTGGACATTTGCAGAAGTTCATTTAAGGTTCACCTTTTAGGCAGACTGTAGAGTTCCTGCAGCTCCGAAGAGGAGCACAGACATACGGTAGGAGCGGTGGCCGCTTGTCCTCTGCATTCCTTAAATCCCAAGCTGATGAAGCAGGAGCCCTCCCTGTCAGTCTTTGCTGCATGAAATAAAAAAAGATATAATGAATTTATAAATCAGCAGCAATGGCCTTATTTATTATTAATGTTTTGAACAAAAAGGTAAGATTAAAGCAGCCACTCCTTTTGGCAAAAGGAGTGAGCAGGGTGGAAACTAGACATCAGATTGCTGATTCAGAGTTTGATCCCAGATGTGGGAGGAGGAATCTTTCTGGAGTTCCTCATAACTCACTGAAATGAGATAGGCTGGTCCTGTTTGTGAGCAACAAATGGATTAGATCAGCATGGGAGAACAGATAGATAAGGAGAAGGGCCTGAAAGACTGTGATTTCAAAGAAGCCAAAGAGGGGTATGTATTTGACAGAAAGCTTATTGCATCAAAAAAAAAAAAA